ACTGCATAAAGAAGAAATGGTAACACATGGCTTGAACATTGTTTTCATCCACCAAACTGAGATCCATTTACCATCAATCCGGATGAGCAAATAATATGAACCAGGATACCAAATAATATGTTTACATCATAGCGAGGAGTGATTTATGATTGTTTTTCAATTACAGACTCAAGAATACCTTTCTCCCCCAATGTTATGGAAACAGGGAGTGTAAATGTGGCACAAACAGAAATCCATTATTATGTCAATTACATTTTATTCCTTTGTTCTCAAGAAAGTGGGATCTTGAAGAAACACAATTAAAAAAAAGTTTTATGTTGTACCACACACATGTTCACAAAGTAAGTTTACGGACTCAAGGCCAACTTTCATACACAGGGACTAGCAATATTTTACAGTTCTAGTACTTCAAATTTTCTAACCACTAAATAAAAGAAATTAGTGAGTAAATTGAAGTTTGATGAAGTAAAACAGCTAATACGGACAGGATAAAAAGATTGTAAAGAACAGAAATGCTAGTCTCAAAAGATAAGTCACCTGAGGGTTCTGCAAATTGAACACTACGAGATTTCTATCCGCTGTTCCAACAACCAAAAGAGGATGCCGCGCAGTTAAAGAATAGCAACGCTCTGGGAGTTGTTGGGTATGGACGGGAGTTTGCTGCCTTAAATCCCAGTACCTGAAAATAAGCTGTTCAGTTGATAATCTTAAAATAATTGCAATGAAACAGAAGATACTCTTCTGTTATCATCTTTCAGTTTGCAATATGATTGTCATGAGGTAGTTGAAAACAGAGTTTCCATTCAGCAATTTAAATAGTGCCAAAGCTACAAGTTCAAAGGTGAAAACACAAACATTATATTGAAGTCTTAGCTTCATCAAGCTCAAAGAAAACTATGTCCATCAATGAAGTCATTTCTCAATTTAGCTATGACTAATTCATGTACTCTAGATATAATCCCATGCTTGTTGAAATAACTCGTGCTAATGGATTATGCATGCAAAGTTAATCCATGTCAAAGCAAAAGTAATAAGTTTAAAGGTCTGGATAGCAGCAATAAAAGAGAAAAAAGAACAAACCCATTCAGTTCTCACCTAAGCGTTTTATCCCAGCTCCCAGTAACAAGAACATTCATCTCAGGAATCCAGGCCATCTCTCTAATTGGAGCATCATGCATAGCCACAGTAATTGGTTGCCCACCAGACAACAAAGGCCACATCTTCACCTGTTTGTCACAGCCTCCTGAGAAGACAGTTGTTCCATCATCCTTCCAAGCCGAGCACAACACCTACAACAAAGTTCATTGGTTTATTGACATCCCATTCACAAGGGCAACTAACAGACATTACTATCTTATTCCATGTTTAAGTTTGTAGAATTAATGAATTATTACAGGCTGATCATGAGATATGGCTGCCTTTGGTGTACTATTGACATTTGCTCCGCTTTGCATTATCTCCCAACAACGCACCTACAAATCATATAAACCATCAAATGCAGGAAAACATGTTAACGACAGCTTCAAGTCAAAATGCTCTATTATACTTTGTGTAAGTAACAATGCACCCAACACAAGATGACTAATAAATAGTCAAATACTTAACAAGCCAATTTTGTAACATTTTACAATTAAAACATGTTAAAAGATATACTTTCTCATATGTTACTAACCCCCTTCAGCAAAGTGGCCATTTCAAACCCAAATGTTCTTTTCACTTTCACTTTGTTATCATGTTTTAGTCACGGCATTCTTCCACCCTCTATTGTGGAAATCATGGAAATGAAACCATAGTTGATCTAGCTTTCTAAGTGACAAGCCAAACAATTTAGTCACAAACTAGTTACTGTTCTAATATACTCCGTAAGTTAAGCTACACCTGTTAATCTAACAAACTAAAAAAAAAAAAAATGCCTGTAAAGGTATACTATGTAACGAAATTCATTACCAATAGCTTGGTTTTTTTTTTTGGTGCAAAAGAGGGGCTAGGCCCCAGTTACCAGTTTTGTTAATATTATGCACAACCTTATTAAGTAATAATAGACTTAATAAAGTTGTTAAAGCTTAGAATTAGCATCACTATACAAGACAAAAAACAAACAAGCTAATTATGTTTGCATAACCAAAAACCAATGTTTACCGATTAATACTACATTAACATTGTCCATTACCACAATCGAGTGTGTAAATACAGCAACCCAATAAAAGAATGCAACACTATTGTATAGAAGAAACAAAGCACACCACAAAATCATAGGACAATTATATAGCAATAATGGAAAAATGGAAAAATGTAAAAATAATTTAAAGAAGACCAACCTGATTATCCCATGAAGTAACTATAAGATGATTGGCCTTGGGACTGAAATTAAGGCTAGAAATTGAATCAGCTGGTGGTTGAGGTACCTGGGAGTTCATAAATTAACCCAATTTTTCATCATCAATTCATTATTCATCCAAAAATTACTACTACATTGTAGTTATTTGCTTGTATTTTCATAGATAATCAATAAAAACAATCTACATTAGGGTTTATACCTTAAATTAAAAGATCAGTAATATAATAAAATAAAATTGAAAACTTACCTCATATGATTTGTTGGGATTTGGGTTTTGACCCAAATTCGTAAGAGATGTAAAATTCGACATTAGAACTGAAAATAAAGCCAATCAAAAATAAAATTAAAAGGGGTTCATCAAAATTAATCAAATCAAACTAAAACATCGACAATAAAAGAAAAACATTATGGAAAAAGCTGATTACCCAAATATAAAATCAACAATTTTATGAAGAGAGAACAAAAGGGGTAGAAGAATTATTGAAAATCACGCAGAAAATGAGAGTTGCGGGTATTTAAATGGAAAGAGATTGCAATGTTAGCGTTAAATGAACGCAGTTGAGAGTTCGATCGTTAAAAAACGCAGTAGAGAAAGTGTAAGAGACTACCTTCAAAATGCCTAGTAACCTAGCCGCTTCCCCCCCCCCCCCCCCCCCCCTTTTTGGCTCCTCCTCAGTACTTTAAGGTCCTGTTTGGTAATGTAATGATAACTTATTCAAAAATTGAAAGATGGAGTCTCTACTTTTTAATTTGACTAATCGATTAAATTAGCTAATTGGACTAGCTTTCGATTAAATAATTTTAGGGTTATTTACTGGTCTATGATCGGACATGATCGAATCCGAAGATCAGAAATTTAAAATTCAAGATTCGGAGTCCATGATTCGACCAATATAACCGGTCTAAAATCCAAACTAAATTGGTTTTTGATTTTCTCTATATTACTCGGATTAATAATTTTCATTACATCTATATTACTCCGTATGAAAAAGAAAAAATAAATATATCCTACTTCATCCATTTCCCCCCTTTGCATCCACTCTTAAGAACTTTTGAAAACAAAGGTATTACATTGTACTTATTTGCTACCTTTCTTATAACTAGGGTAGTTAATGCGCATCATAAGACTTGTAACTAGTCATGTCCAAGAAGTTCTTTCTATTTGGCGTTGTATTATAACTTTAGTTGTTAGTAGCGTTAATAAGGGAAAATATGTAAACATATATTTTAAGGGTATAAATGTCCATGTACTATTTTTAAGAGTTAAAAAAAACAATTGACATTAATTAGGACAAATATGTAAATAAACATTTTAGGGAAATAATCGTCTCAACATTATTTATAAAAGTATGACCGTACTTTTAAAAGAGGTAAATACATAAATAAATATGTTTAAAGACATAATCGTCTCAACACTATTCTTACTCGAGTGCATATAGGCGCATAGGGCCATGTGTTTCACAAGCACATAGAAGGGCATTTTGGGATTTTTTTTTTCTCTCCCTCAATGGTACAGCAATACATTTAATGTACCATTATGCATGTAATAGTACTTTTTGCCACCAAATTTTGCACCACCATTTTTTCTCGTGTTTCCATTATTTACATAGATGTCATCCTATTTATTTTATTGGCACATATGCCCTATGGGCCAATACTTCTCCATTCTTACTCATATTTATTTTTAGTAGGAATATGATCAACATCCAACATGGGCTTAAAAAAGAAAGAGAAAATGCAAATCCCATCAATTAACTATCCTTCTTCATAGCTTTCTCTCTACTAACATTTTCTCACCCCCACTGTTCCTCACCGCCGTTGCCAACTTGCCGGTGAACTGGGTTTGATACTTTTCATTGATTCCCATCGTACTTGCCTTTTCTAAGTATGAGTTGGCTAGTAAATTGTGGTGTTTTAATTATTGTACTATGTTTTATGGAGGCTTTTTCCACGTTTCGATCTTTAGTATTTGCTTCACTCTCAATCTTGCTGCTTGTGCTTTGAAGCTTCTTGATTATACTAGTGTTGTTAAGGTCTTAACTTTGTACTAGATTTGATTCAAGTCATAACAAGGCGCTTTATAGGAGGACGTTTGCTGATAAAGAATTGGGCAATCTACGTTTAGCTAGGAATTATTTGGTTAAGGCTGCTAAGGGTGATCCGAAAAATAAAGTGTTAACAAAATTGCAATGTGTTGAGGGCTTGTTATAGTGTTAATTGGATGTTTCTTTGTTCTATCTGAAGCTGAAAGGTAAGGTGGTTCAGTCCGTTACTCAAGTCGAATCAACTTCCCAAGTCCCCAATGATTTTGAAGGAAGTTATGAGTTACTTTATTCTGGTTTGCTCTGTCAAGGAGGATTGTAGTGTTATAGGGTCAGTAGATGAGATTGCTCATGTACTGATTTTAATTGCGGTATTTCAAGTTCAGCTGTATTCTCAAAGCAAGTATTCTTGCCCGTTTCAGTTGGTATGCTAAGGAATACGAAACGCCAAGTCCCATCAGATTCAGTTAGTGTTGATATGGAATGTCAATTAAAGTTGGATTCTGTCAATAATGTACTACAACCTAACTTGCAAAATGTATACTAAATTAAAACAAATGAACCGTTTATAATGGCAAAAAATATATATTTAATTCTTTATAAATAATACGAAGTACTTCTTTCATCCCAAAATATTAGTATGAGTATTGATAAAATCCTAGGGGTATTGGAGGCAGTAAACAGGTTTTGTTAAGTGGTTAGTGATTAGTGGTAACATGCACTAACATCAGACTAATTACTTGCTTATCTACTGTACTTCGGACCAAAAGCAAAAAATGCCATTTACAATGATCGTAGCGTTATACCTATACAAAACCCACTCAAATCTGAACAAGATCGAGCCACAAAAAATAAGAAAGCAAAACAAAATGAGAAACTTTACAACAAACCTATACACAAACTTCAAGGTCCTTTAGAGAAACCAAAAGACTCTTCTATAGTTTCTTATTATTGGTATAGGTCCTGCCCCCCATTTGATGTAGACGGAGATGACCTTGTTATGGAAGATTGTGATGGCCCTGATGGGGGTGCTGTTAGGGCATATGTCATTCTCGAAGAATCGCTTTCAATTAGGCCAGCAACACCAGCAGCAGCAGATTGGGCATTCGAAGGAAGAAAGAGGTCATGCCTTTGATCCTTGTAGGCATTCCATACCTGCAAAAAGAAGTGAAACACCCAATTTTTAGATAACCAAACACTGAAACTAGAGGGATAACCATTTCAGTCTCGGACTCTCAGAAGAGGTAATCTATTATATGGTCTATACACTATAAGGCAAAAATCACCTGAAAGAATATAACAAAAAAATGTACAGTTTTTTGTTTTACCTAAAATCCCCACCAATTTCTTCAAGTTAATGCATCTCCATACAATTATACTCCCTCTGCCCAAGATTAGCTGACACATTTTCTTATAAACTCTCTATTTAGTTGACATAGTTCTATTTCTTTCAATAAATGACATGAATCCACTATCCACTTAACTATAATAGAAAAAACCCACTACCCACTAATTATAATAAAAAAAAAAAAAAAATACCCTACTACCATATAAAAAAATAAATAAAAAGAAATTAATTAACTTTGCCTATGACTGTGTCGATCTAAATTTGCACACACAAAAAAAAAAAAAAAAAAAAAAAAAACTGTGTCGAACTAAATAGGGATATGGAAGTACTAATTACCGGTTTACATAATACACATTCGAAAATATTGAAAAATTAAGGAAGTTTTTACTTTATTAAGAACAGTAACCTGATTTACTAATCAACCCCACTCACCCCCTCAAAACCAATGGACTGCAATCCAAAAACAGTGAAATGGTCATATGAGTGGTACCATTCTGGATTAAACTTACCAAACTAGGTATCAAATCGCGTCGCGTTAGCATACCTGATCTTGCATTGTGAATTGGGTCATTAATTCAAAATTAAAATTTATTTTCAATGTACATGTGATTTAGTAAGACCTCATTCGTAAGAAATCTCAACTCTCCTAAACACATCGACTTGATTAATGAAACATTAGAGTTTGGAGATGTAAGCGAGGCACTTTTTAGTCTTTTAAAAATATGCTTGCATTCAAAGCTTAAAAAGGGAAGAAAATGCCAGAATTTAACATAAGGTACTTCACAAAAAAAAAAAAAAAAAATAAAAAAAAAAAAAAAATCAGGTGTTTTCTTACAAAAACGTGGTTTTGACAACAATTTTTAATTATTTTTTGTTTAAAAACACGATTTGGTCAGGCCGTCAGGTATTACCCATGTTTTGTTACATTTATCCGATTAAGCATTCAGATTCAGGTCATCCACCTCCATTAAGGCAGCAAGACTAACCCTAGCTGGAGTGTGAATTAGGGAGCTGGCTAGCCATTAACTCATTGCACCAGGTGCCTTAATTGGCTTCCTTCTCTAAAAAATGAAAAGAGCAGTGATAGTAGAAAAAGAAGCCATTCATTATTTTCTTCTATTATGTTGCTGTCAGATAATCTTATATTCACACTTTTCACTTCTCCGTGTAGTAAAATTTTGCGACATGCCACATCCCTCACCCAAAAAGAAAACAGTGACACCTAGGAAAAGTGAACTTACATCAGAGGCATCCAGTATCTCACGCACACTACTGCAATGGGCTCCTTCTGTTGCAAATGCATGCAACACCTGGATAAGCAGCATAAAAAATATATTAGATGATTACATATAGGCAGAAAATGTTCAAAAGTTGTGTAGCACATCTGCTGATAAGGATTAATATTTCACATGTCACTAGAACTAGTTACTAGGGATGTGGCAAAGGGTAACAATGATCCAAAACAATTAGTGAAGTTAAACTTGGGCTTAGAAAAAAGCTCCTTAAAAATTTATTTTAACAGATGAACCAAGATTCAACAAGTATATATTCTTGTTCAGCAAATAAGATTGAATCCTTGAACACTAACATAGGGATACACATATATGCATATATATGAATTGTTTGTTATTATATTCGAGAATGACAAATTCATTTATTTTAAAAACAAGAATGACCACTTATTTTTGTTTAGAGAGATAGCTTGAAGCTATTTTAGTTTTCATTGAATAATTTAAAGTATTATTTTTACAAAACGAGTTCAGTTATTATTATTATTTTTTACAGGTAATGTACACGGGGAGCCCCCTCCTATCACAGGAGGGGGGGATGAGGTCCGAACCCCCGTCACACGGGGGGAGATGGAGGGACTAACCATCCCTCCATCTTTATTATTGTCATGTTATTTAAGATACTATATGTTAAGGTTAAACTTGCGTTAAGAGTGAAGAGAATCAAGCTTATATAAGTTACTATGATATAATTAAACAAGCTATAAGAGATCAATCTTGCTTATGAATTTAATTTAGAAAAAGAGCAGCCTCATTAGAGCTGAGTTTAAATGATACTAATGCTGTGCTCAAGCACACTAATTACAACATAAACTGAGTTTGAAAACATGTTTTAGCTGCTTATTTGAAGGATCAAAGTTGAACTTTAAATCAAACTTGATGATGAACTCGATCGTGAACATGAACATGGGAACACTAAGCTCAGTACACACTGAGATGTAATCTTGGTCACATGCAACATTTCTCTAACATTATTAAAATATTAAGCCTAACTAAAGCACCTAAGAATTCATGACAAGTAGATAGTGTGGAATGTGGAGTGCGTAGGATTAAAACGAGAATTTTCACTCATTCAGTTTTATAAGATTGGTTATTGGGTCAACAGGCTGATATGTATTTATGAGTTGAGCTCAAAATAAATTATGCTTGAGATGAACTAACAGTATAGAGTAACCACAACCTCAACAGCAAGCACACGGCCAATTGATGCTTCAGATTCGTTCCACTTCATCTGTGAGCTAAATCCATTCCTTCCACCTGCTCGCCAGTCAAGCAGACCAAGAAGAACATCGACAAGCCCAACCCTAGACAAATCACGAACCAATTATGAGAATAGTTATCGACACTTGGTTGTCCAGAAGAAAAGAAAATCCAAAGACACTGGCAAATATAACATGTCAGTGAATTCACCAAAGTGAAGCATATAATAAGTTTTTGGCATTTTTTTAATGAACATAAGTAAGAAGATAAATGTGGAAAGCAACTCTGAGTCCTTGTGAATTACCCAACTCTTAATTGAGTTGCGAACAAAAGCAACTCTTGATTGTGAACAAAAGTAAGAAGATAAATGTGGAAAGCAACTCCGAGTCCTTGTGAATTACCCAACTCTTAATTGAGTGGCTTCTCATTAATTATCTTTGTCAACCATCTAAAAGTCAAAACTTCAAAGGATATTGCATAATTTGTATTCAGGAAGATAGCAAAAACTTGTTTCCATACTTTCCAAGGGAGCAGGGATACGAAGGCAAATTGTAAAAAAGTTAACTACACTCATATTTACTCCCTCCGTTCCTTAAAAAATGCATCACTTGTATGGGCACATAATTCTAGGAGAACTTTTGGACAATACCATTAGATTGTGAAAGTAGGGGAAGAGGGTGAATAATTTATTCTTATAAAAGGGACTTTCATATCTATTAAATGATAGAAAACCAATAAGAATCAACAACAAAAACAACAAAACAAAAAAGAGTGAGACCATATCTTACGAAAGAGACAATAATAACTACTATAGAAAAAAAAAAACCCATTTATAAAAGTCATGCATTCACATGGGAATGGCTAAATAGGACAAATGATGCGTTTATTTAGGACCAAAAGGAGCAAATCTTATGAATAAACAACCAACTCCTGAAATCCTTTCTGCCTTAGTTCTTAAGGTTTAAGGATTGTTTCAATAGCTTAACAGAAAAGGTTAGATTTATATGGGTGCAGATCCAAAAGTTATGATATAATATTTTAAATAATCTCACAGAGTTACCAATCATTTATCCCTGGGTAGATTGATTAGAAGGAATTCCAGTCAGCAACATTCAAAGTCCATATTACATATAGAGAATTGTACAATTCATACAAAAGTTCTACGACTTTTGTCATCTTCCCTTTTTCTCTTTTATATTCTTGCCTGGAGAGTAGGAGACCAAAGCAATAACCAACACCATCAGTATGGAATCCACCATGCACCAAATCTTAATAGGGACTTAACAATTATTCTTTTGTAAAATTAAGCCATATCACACCAAATCAGGTTTTATCTCCGTTAGCTTACTGCCATATATCTTTAAATCCTTATTAAAAAATTTACAGAGAATAGATAATTGGAAATTAATATGAATGTAATAAGAGCCTGCTTGATAATTTCTTTTATACAAATGAACAAAAAAGATCAAAGACTAGGCATATCAAGAGAGCAAATCAGACAAGTCCAAACCAGACAAAAAAAAAAAAGCATATCAGAACTATATTACGTAATCTAGCTTAAGTGTTTCAGTGGTCATTTCTGAAATTCCTCCAGATCCACTACTTATTCCAGAGTTCTCAAATCCTCCCTTACCCATGGAAAGAGAATAGCAAATTTTATAATGTAGCAAATATTGTTCTATGAGGAAGCAAAGTATACTAAACTAATTATTGGCCAAAAGGAATTCAAACTTCAAAAACTTACTTAAGCCCCTGTGCGACAAGTGCATCCCTGGCACGATTTCCAGCAACCACAACACGTTTAAGAGTCTCAAGGGCTAGTATGCTTCCACCTTGCCATCCAATGGCTTTCATCAAAAGTGGAACAACCTGAAGAAAAGGAGTAGAAAGATAGAACACATGATTATGTATATGAGGTCATTGAGTAGTCAGATGAAAGTGTTTAATCATCATCAGTTAAGACTGACATTGCATAATATATAAAACAGTCCAGAAATGCATAGCTTTAAGACTGACATTGCGATATTTTATATTACCAAACCAGTTAAATCCTGTGCAATGCACGATTTTAACAATAATTTTTTTGCTTATTTGTTCGTAATATGATTAAATGATTATTTTAACCTTTTTTTTTAACTCCATACAAAATTGTGTAGTTAGTCCATTTAGTCATAAAATCTTTTAGGAAAATGTATAATTAGTCTACCCTTCCAAGTCTTTAGCTTGAAAGGGGGAAAAAAAAAAGAAAAAAAAAAGAAGAAGATGATGTCACATATAGTTTTGGTGGGAAATTGTTTTATGAGAAGTCAACACATGTACAATAATGATTTCAGCGGTTGATATTATAGTTACTGTTATAAATAATTCATAATTTCAACTCATAGTCTCAAATACTAAATGGCCGTAAATAAATAAGCAATGTTTACCAAATTACCATTATGTAACATCTTAAACCAAATAAAGCTAATGATACAAACAAAATTAGGCAGAGCCATCCCTCTATTTCTACCATAAGAAAAGAGTTACAGTATATGTACCTCAATACTACCTCTATTTCAGAATTATCTTAACACTTTCCATCTTGGTTTGATACTAAAAAATCAAAACACTTTCACTTTATTTCATTATTGGAAAACCCCTTTTACTACATTACACCTCTTACACATAATATTTTACCATTTCCACTTACACCCCCTTACTTTATACATCTTTTTTTACACCAATTTCTCTCTCTTATTTTAACCACGTTTTTCTTTCACCCACTGACTTACTTTCTAAAAATTTGTGCAAATATTAAATGTTAAGATCAAATGGAAACAAAGGTACCATATAATTTGATAAGAATAAAATTGATTAAAGCTCAGTAAGAAGAAAACTAGGGGAAACACAAAAAATATACAAGTTAACCCAGTTCAGTTGTATCTCTCTAATTGGATGCAGTCTATACGCTCCAATTTCCTTCAAAGTCGAAATTTAAATGCAAAATGGCATTACATAACAAAAATTCATAATATTGTAGATGATGCTCTTTTTCATTATAAAATAGAAAACAGGCTATCATGCAGCTCTAACTTTGGTGTGATGTTATTTGCTCATTTTTGGGAATACAGCAGAGTTTACCTGAGGAGTTCCTGCACTAGTTGCGGCCATAGCCTCAGCACATGTTGTACTTGCTGCAAGTTGATGCAACACACGCAAACAGCTAAGACGAATACGTTCTCTTGGAGTTTGTTTATTGGGCTGTGATGAAGCATCTTCAGTATCATAGCTACCATCCACATCCAAGCTTCCACTTTTAGCATCACTTGAAGCCATTGTCTCTCTCCTTCCTTCATAAGCCATTGCAGCAACGAGTTTTGGCACATACCCAAGGTATCCTACATGATCTGCAAGGGTAGGGTGCACTCGTAGCAGTGATACAAGCGCAGCAGAAAGAAGCAGTGGAAGTTCAGGATCAGAAGCTTGTGTGTCATAATGTGTAGCGGCCACTGATGAAACATACTGGTCAAGGAGTCCTTCTAGGAATCTTTTTGGATTTCTAAGAGGAAACTTCGGATCCTTCAAGAATAATCTCACATATATTCCCGCAACCTGTGACCAATATTGTGAGTTTACTCGCGAATAAAACAAGTAAATAAACTATACAAATTACATAACAAAAACATGATTGCAGACCTGTGGCTCATCTCTCATTTCTTGCTGGTTGGATGCTTGTTCAGGTACATCCCAGTCAATAACAGGGCCCTTCATCTGTTCCTTATACAAATCTGAAGCCATAGTTGCAATTTGTGCAGATAATGAAGCTGCCATAGCTGGGGTCCAGACAAGTTCTGGTGTCTCAGTTGTTTGATCAAGGACATAAACCACAGCTTCACCAGGACCGTCTCTAATTATTGATACCAGACCATCTGGAAAGAATCGTGCCAATGTAATAGCAACACGAGGCCCATGCATGGGCTGGCCAACAAGTCTACCTAACAAAGAGGCTGCAGCCGCTCTCTGCGGCAAAGATATTTCTTCTGTGCAAGGAATTAGGTATTATTAAGAAGGAAATGACGCTTTTGTGAAAACATTAATTTGAAGCCAGTCCAATCTTACCTTGCAAAGGAAGCAAAATTTCGAGAATGTAAACTACTCCACCATGCTTCGCAGCTGCCCATGCAAGTTCTGATGTGCTTGCTAAGGCTGAAAGTACATGAAGAGCACCTTCACGACAGCTCGGAGAAGAATGGAGCATTTGAAGTAGTAGAAGAAGACTAGATCCATCAGCAACCATAGCTTCTAAACAGGGAGCATAAGCAGTCAAGAGAGACAGCACATTCAAGCACAGTTGAGATATTCCAGTAGTGGATGCATCAGAAACCGAAAAGCATTCAAATATAGGTAAAAGCCTTTCCTTGGTTGAAAAAACGGAAGCCAAATTTGGATTACTAGTCAACAAGTTCTGCAACACAATTAATTCAATAAATACAATTTAATAAGGAGCTCACACTAGAATCTTCAGCACAGGAATCTATATACCTTAAGTGAAGTCAACGCAGACTGTAGTTTTTTCAGCACACTTGAATCATCTTCTTTTGAAACCTTTGCATCAGAAACAACAAAAGAATCATCACGACTAGTAGTCAGCTGACCATGTGACTGATCTTCCAATTCATTTTCATATTCAGACTTCGTATTTTTGGAGGTACTTAGATCTTCAGTACTCGGAAGTAAAGTGGTAGGGCTTTGCTCATGTACTATAGAATAGATAAAATCAACAAGGGCAATACAGAAACCTTCTGGTTCACTGATCTCAAAATCTGGTTGATCATTGTAGACCCTTAAGTAAACATTTCCAACACAGAGCTCCTTGGATAGAGAAGTATATGTGAATTCATGTGAATCTTTAAGATCATATGAGCCATCAGGACCTTGTGATGTACGCTGCTCCTCAACAAACTTCAACAGTTCAGACCGTGTTGAAGAATTCCATATAATCTGTACTTGAGAAAAAAATTCTATTAAAATCCTTAAAATAAATATTAATACATAAAATACAATTATAAAGAAAAATTGGGGGTGCAGTGTCCGGGTATTAGAAATCGATAATAAGGCTAGTCTGACATTCTACTGTGAGCCTCTCAACATCCAAAAGCATGTATTCTCTATGCAAGCAGGAGTGAGATGGAGCCCTGGGAAAGACCAGCCTGATCTTAAGGCCAGAAGTTTCAAGACAAACTGGAGATGGGCAGCATTACTATCTATAAGCAAAGTTGAAGAAGTTCTACTGGGAAAATTAGGTAGTTTATCAACAGCTCAGCAACTATGGTAATCAACCTAAAAAGGCTCCTTATATGGGCAACTAAAGGGAGCCAAAGGGCTTGAGTGATTAATAAATGCCAGATTATAAAACTGTTGATATATTTCTACATTAATTCAAATACTGCTGAATCCTGCGGCTCCAGGGATTGCCCTTATATTATTTTTCTTTTACAGGATATATTGGAGTTATAACATTTGAATTTCTTTTAAATTACATCCCCCAAACGGCTTTCCTACTGTGTAGTGCAATGTATAAAAAAGCTCAAGGCGACCAAGGCGTTTCAGCGCCCTAAGGGGCGCCTTTATGCGCCAGAGTGAATCAATCAATCAAAGCCTTAATCCCGTAAGTGGGGTCGGCTACATGAACCAAGAGTGATTATTCCGTAGAGTCGTCCACAAAAATCTTCCTCCTCCATCCCCTACGATCAAATGCCTCATTCTCATGCAAATCCATATGCTTCATATCCTTCCTAACTCCTTCCAACCAAGTCATTTTCGGTCTCCCTCTCCCTCGTTTAACCCTTCCATGGTCCTACTTTTCCACTCTTCGTACCGGTGCACCCTCGGGTCTCCGTCTTACATGCCCAAACCAACATTTACGATTTTCCTTTAGTTTGTCTACAATGCCTGAGACACCCACTTTCTTGCGAATAACCTCATTTCTGAATGTATCTCTTAAAGTGTACCCCGCACATCCATCTTAAGATGCGCATTTCTGTAACCTCTATAGGCGAATATAATATATAATGAAAAAAAATTCTCAAAAAAGCTGTTGTGAGCCTAAAGCTGCGACTTCGTGCACCTCATCAAAATAGCTTAGCCTAAACCAAAAAAAAAGCATGACCTGTAACGCCCTCGCACCTTAGAGCCTAGGTGCACTTTATCAAACACTAGAGCACTGTTAAGTTTCACTATCCTTTGGCTTTTGGATACATTCCACGCCAAGGGACATAGAACCAAAGAATAGAGCTATTAAGAGAATTGAAGGTAAACCAAGTTTGACCACGATGGCAAGGATATAAAAAGGGCATGACATAAATAGGGATTCTGGATTGACATGAATGCCTATGGAGATGACATCTTTGTTAATGTTAACGGAGAGGACACAGAGCAGATTTTTATTATTTCAAAAATAAAAAAAGCATGTAGAGGTGACCTTGAAGCATATTGTTGGTTGCACCTACACAACAGCTTCAATTATTATGGATGCAGAAGGCTCCTTACAATTAAGTTTCCAAAATTTTATCTTAAACTCTGTTTAGCTGTTCTTATTATAATGCAAAGCTACAATAAGACTAAAATGGAATGCTTCTGGATTCTCATTGACATCATTATTGTGACATCTCAATTTATACACATCAAATGGACATTAAATAATAACCACAAATCATAAAATTGTATCTTAGCCTGAGTAAGGAAATATATGCACATGTTTTGGCTTATAAGTTAGTAGTAAGATAGTCATGATGGATAAAGAAAATCGAATCTACCTCTGGGGACTCCAAATTGGAATTTACTTTTGACAATAGTTCTTTTGGTGTTTGTTCCTTCAACATACTAGCCAGCTTAGGGGTTAGCAGAGCCTGAAGGGCAACAACTGTAGCTTCATTATATGGCACTGGAACCACATCTGTACATAGACCACTAAGCCTCGATAGGGCATCAGATGCTCGAGCAGCATGCAAGTTTTTAGCAACTTGAACACTGGCACCAACGCCATGTGTCTCTATCACATCAGATTCTTCTGCCGTAGAATCATACTGAAGCAACAAAGGCAATAGGTACCTGAAAACCACCACATTTAACTAATTAGTCATCATAGGAAGCTACAAACCAGTTCACAACAAAGGTTACCAACAACAGATCTGGCTTTCTGGTTTATATCATGAATCATCCAATAACAATCGGCACAAATTTAGAACCTGATTTCTATTCCATAAGAACTATATAAAATGTCATTCCAACACAGCCTATATTACTAGAGTGAGTAGGCTGCCCTAATACAAACAACCAATCACACAATTACCTTCCTTCCCACCACATTCATCTCCCCATATCTTATGTCTCACCTCTTCTCTTAGGGGCCAATATCACTACTCTTAACTAATAAAAGCAAATATGCACTTCAACCACATACCATAGCACCCCTGCCTTTATCAGTGCATCTTGCAGTTCAGATGAAACAGAAAGATGAGCAATTGTCTGAAGAGCAGCATCAACCGCTCCAGGAGTCAACTCAAGTTCAGTGCAATGTACAATATCCTCAATTAGACCAGATAATTGAAGCATCTCAACCCTAGCAATCTCAAATTGGCTCAAAACAGCAAATGTTTGCATCACATTTGTGACAATAATTGCAGAGGGTTCACTCGCCGCAGTAGTTGGCTGTACAACACACATACAACGAGAAAGAAGAGTTGCAAGAAGCTGTATCCCACCATCCCTCACAAGCTCTTCTCCATTCAAAGAGGAAGATGCACATCTACACAGAAGAAAGCAAAAAAATTATTACAAACAGGAAATACATCAGCTACAATACCTATAAAATACAAAATTCAAACATTATATGAGTAGCTGTATACGTGAGGAAAGTAAGCTCAGAAGCTGCAACGAGAAGTGATGCTCTATCAGATGACAAAAAATTATTATCATCTTTGTCCACAGTGATTGCACTGAGCAACATTGGATATCCAGCATACTTAAACGGTTCTAAAACATGTCCATAACGTCTGTATAAGATACACTGTCCCTTCAATAAAAGCAGCACCCTCCATAGCTGTGGACCTTGCAAACCTTGCATAGAAGCCTACAAAGAGTCACATAAGGTAAACTGATCAAAAGACTGCACAAGCCTTTCATATCACACTTAGTCAAGAAAGCCTTTATAATTTTTTATATGGAGTATGTCATAAAAAAATAATAACATTAAAAAAAAAAAAGAAAAAAGAAAAAAACAATATATACAGTCACTTCACAAGCAAAGAGGCAGTTCTATCTTTGAGAACAAAAGTAAAAAAAGAAGTAAAAGGGGCTTAATATCAAGCCAGGCCTGCAATTAGATTCTTGAATCATCAGATTATGTCCAACCCCTTTAAGTATCATGACTAGCATATAATTTTAATATCATCTACAATTTAAGAAAGTTGAAACTAGATAAGGGCCACCCAAATTCAGCTCAATGCATACTGAGAAAGCATAAATCGCATGGCAAATTTAAAATGGTCATTTTAACTCGTTTATAGAGCATTTAGCTTCAAAAACAATATAATACTGGCAGGCAAGACCTTCTACCAAGTAACCTAGTACATTGTTTATTGAAATGTGTTCATTAATCCTCATAGGTTCAGCAATCTGCTCAGTACAACAGCAACCAGAGCTAAAAGAAAAAAGAAAACAGAAGTAGAGCTCACTTCCAGCAAAACTTTGTGTTTGACAGAGATGTAAATATATTGACACAAAAGAAAATGTTGCAAATTGCTTTTAAAGGTACTCAAAAACCATGAAGAAGTCAGTTGCCAAATTAAAAATCGTGTAGAAGTCAGTTGCCAAATTAAAGGGAGTAAAGAGATGGATGGGTGTAAGAAAAAATTGAATGAAGTAAGGGAGTGTGTGGGAGTTGTGGGAAAAGAGGCATAAGATGGTTAAGGGGTATGCCAATAAGAGAATAAGGCAAAGCAAATAAAATAAAATAAAATAAAATAAAAAAAATAATAATAAAAAAAAAAGAACAGACAAAGGTAGGAATTGAGTAGACATGGTGGAGGGAGTAATGAAATGACCTTCCACTTCTTATAACATACAAAATGGTCTGAGCACAGACTGGAGACAAGAAGGATTTCAAGCAGCAGTCATTTGAGGTCAAAAAGATATGTTAAGGGAAACATAGTTGGATAATCAATTTAGCATTCCCTTCTTAGATAATGATAGCTATTAGCAAGTGAAACTTGTATAATACAATATTTTACATTATTTCAACCTAGAATAATGTTTTACTCTCCAAATGATCAAAAACACTGGCAAAAAGATCCCTATAGTCACAAACCCAACGAAACAATAATACAAGCGTCATATTCAAACGGTCAAACCTTGAAGTTGGAGGCCCGTAAGATTCATCCAACACCCTACAACATTTTCACAATTCCCTTGACTGGATGGCCATATTTGATTTTCACCTTTCCCTCTTTAATCCCCCTCCTCTCCCAGGCTCACAATTTCTTAGGGATTTTACTGCTAATCCAGGCTGAGTTAGACGGCGCAGGGTTCCAGCCCCATAGGGCCTTCTCCTTACCCCCATTCATCCCCCCCCCCCCACCACCACCACCAACAACAACAACAAAAAAAAAAAAACTATTTTAATTTACTTATTCTACTATTTATTTATATAGATGAACAGTCAGCAGAAAATACACAAAAGTGGACGAGGTATGAATTTTTAATCCTTCTTTTATGACTGGTTTATTCTTTATAATAAAAATACTGACAATATCCTACACTCATCTATATTTTACGTATAAAACAGTGCCAAACCCCTGTTGTGAGAAACATTGTGAAGGCAACGGAAGTAATGTAAATGTAGGGAGGGAAAAAATAAAATAAAATAAAATAAAATAAAATAAAATAAAAAAACCCTCCAAAAGAAGTAATGTAAATGTAGGAGGAAAAATAAACCTATTGTAAGACGTGGGACAGAGGAAGTAATCAGTAATATACATGTAAAACCTTGAATGCATTATGTAGATCATACATGTAAAGTTAACAAAGACAAGTAGATAAACGAACATTAAATCAAGAGCTACCTGCAGGCGCTCATAAGCTTTCTGAACTGCAAGAAATATTTCCCGTCCTTCAGGATTTTTGTCAGGATGATATTTGATTGCCAATTTCCTATACTGTCGTTTCAATTTTTCTTCATCAATATTCTCAATTTTCTTGGACAAGCTCCCATTTTCCTCAGAACTTGTTGAGGATTCTTCAGCCGACAAGTCCTCAAAACTTATCTCCAATATCTTGCAAGCTTCTTCCTCAGAAAGATCCATGGGCTTTCGTGTCAGCTCTTCACGCCACATTGCCAATAATGACTGTAGAAACTCAACATGCTCAACGATAGGCCAATTTGGAAATCGTATCTCGTCACACAAATTCCTGAGATAATAACGATGGCACCACATTTCATCCCTTAGTTCAGGATAAGTAACTGGTGGCATAGGAGCATAATCATAAAGTGCATGGCAATGTTGGGACAACTTCTGAGGAAAGTCACCAAGATGCTGCAAAACCTGTTAGAAAACTCCAAGCTTTAGGTATATGAAAAGAAAATATTACACCTCTTGGTGATAATATGCAGATAACCTAAAGCATAATGAAATATGATAATATTTATCAGATTTATCAATGTATAAGTAGTATAAAAATGCAGTTAAAAAAATTAAAATAAATAAATAAATAAAAAACGAGCTAAAGCATAATGAAAAATAATAATATCTGATAAACTTCAGGAGAATTAATCAGATTTATCAATGTATAAGTAGTATAAAAAATGCAGATAAAAGAATACGAGCTCAAGTAATAACCTGTCGAATGAGATTCTCAGCCCTCATTTTGTGTGTCCATATAATCTCTGGAGTATCAGAATCAGAGACCATAGCTGCAGCGAATGCAGCTGGTCCAGAGCGCTCTAATACATATAGCAAGGATTCTGGGAGGAGGCCACCCAAAACACTACGTTTAGCCAATGGCAATGAAGAAGAAACAGCTGCTTCTTCCCCGCCATGAAATGCTTGATGCACATGCGTCATGTGGAAAAGTTGTGAAATGGAATGAAGATTAGACCCAGGGTAGGCAAGGGCAAAATAAAATGCCCCAGTGCTATAAAGCCGTATCATTGCCTTGGGATTTCTTGTAACAACAGCCTTTAGCAATGCAGCAGCAGCTTCCACAATACTCGGTTCTCCAGAGAGCATAGCCTATTTTACCAACAACAGGTAAACATATTTACTGGGGATTCAGTCAGTGAAGTTTAAATTATGAAGGATTTAACTAAAATAATATTATAGTGAAATAACAGTAAAACAGTAAATTATTCACAATAAGGCATCATCAAGCAGTATCATACAAGAAAACACTGAAACATATTATTTATACCAAAATCCTTGACAGGAGAGGAACTTAACTACACCATACGGAAGGTGGAGAAGACACTACGCTATTGTTTTTATAAAACAGATCACAAATTAACTCTCATGGACACCGCAAAGGCAAACCTCTTACATTTAAAGCACTTTTGGGTGACTTTGATGCACTTTTCAACACATGGGCAATTATTACTGAAGGGCTTTGATTAAACAGAATTCTGAACATTTTCCTCAATTTAAACTTATTTTGTTGCCAAGTGAATGGTGGAGGTTCTTATAATTACATATCTAACTGCCAGCATTTCCATGTTTTATCATTTTATGCAGTTAAAACTCTTACAAGTACTAGGTATATGCTTCCTAGTTCCTTCATATACAAATAATAATCACTTCTCCATGTCCAGAAAATAGTCACTCGTCTATAATGTTACCTTCAACAACCTATGATTGCACAGACAAATTATTATCTCTTGAATTTGTAGAAAAGAACAATGTCAAGTAAAGGGTGCTGCATCAGGAATAGTTGCTGCTTCAAACTCATTATGTCCTGGTATGCATCTGTATCACTGTAAACCTCTAAAATGTTGCACAATTAATGAAGATGGATAGCCAGTGAGATTAATGTTAGTATTTCATTATTCATTTTTTAATTTATTAGAGATAGACTGTTTTGCAACCTCAAGAAAAGTCAAAGCAGAACACCATTTTACTGTCATCTATAATGGGGGGGACTTGAACAATTTTGTTGTGCCCCCTTCTGTTATTAACAAGGAGGTCAGAGATGTATACCTTAGATTTTGTCATCACTCACTCCTAGATCATGTTAAAAATTTGACCAGGAGGTGCATAATGCTACAGCCGAAAGCTTATCAAAAAACCACACCCTTCAATCTGACATTAGAACTTCAATAGGATGGAGGACAGTATTTGGTGTTTGGTCAAAACAAGCCAAAGTCTTAACTTTGAGGACAAAATTATTTCAGCTTTAATTGTCGAAACAGGAAGTATATATAGCAGATGGCTAAGTTCAAACTGAAAATTTTCTCACACTTGTTTCTCTTGCCTCTTCTTCATTTTCTTTCTCTTTCTTGCCTCCTTGCTCTCACTCTGTTCATATATGAACTGCATGACTCCAGGTGCAATCTTAAAGCAGAGATATCTTCATACATAAGTATTAAAGCTTATCTTGCACGGTAAATGTTAAATCCCTAATGAGTAATCAACTAAGACTGTATGTTCTGTAATTCGATTAATCAGTGATTGAATTCTATTAAATCACTCAGATTAATTCAAACAGCTGTAGCTGACGCATGCTGATCTACGCCCAAGTAAAAGAAGCCTAATAATAGAGGGCAATCCAGAGCCATTCATTAAAGAATATCACCAAAAAAAATTCAGAATGTGTAGTTGTACTGAGATTCTACATCTATAGCATCTCATACCAAACTTCATGATAGATGCCATTCCATGCAATGTTGATAATATAACTATGTGTCAAGCTCATTCAGAGAGGAAAACAGGTACACAACAAGCAGGACAATTGCATCTGTAGGCTGACAAACATGTATCATACAGATACCAAAATTGACAATAAAGGGGAACCAAACAAGGAAATGATTTGAAAAGTAAGCAAAATAATACCTGAGAAATATGCGGAAGACAACGTAGGCTGGATAAGATACGCTTCACCCTAGGTGTTGGGGTGACTATCTCACCAGCATCATCTAGATCAGACCGGGCGGCAACCATGCTATGCAAAATGGACAATGCAGCCTCCCCAACCTTTTTAAGCATATAGCAAATGGAATAAGAAATTGGCACTAGAAAGTTGAATAAAGAGGCAAACACTTCATGTCTTCTTATAGAGAAGTTCAGATCTAAAATAAGTTTCAGATAATTTCAAACAGAGGCTAAAATTTTCAACTCACAATTTCATCAAGTTAATTTAATGGCTGATAAATTCATATAAGTTTAGGGCTAATAAGTTCTTATAAGTTAAGGGCTAATAGGTTCATACAAACTAAGGGCTAATGCGTTCTTATTAACTAAGGGCTAATAAGTTGTTACAAGTGAAGGATCAAAAAGTTCAAAATAAGGTTGAAAAAGTTCAGATCAGGGTATTGTTAAAAGAACATAAACTTATTTTCCTTACAGTAATCCTTGGAAAATTATTTTACAGGCACATTGAAAAAATTCAGATCAGGGTATTGATTAGAAAGAGAACATAAGCTTAATACCATTACACTATTTCTTGGAAAATTATTTTACCGGCATCCTGGCTTTTATATTCCTCAATTAAATATATATATATATATATATATATATATATATATGAGGATTGCATGGTATTCATAAATATGGTTATATGATAGCAAATTTTAACACCCTTTTCCCCTACGCCTCTTCGGATTGTCACCAGCACAATCCTCTTGTGGTTTCAACTTTAGGAGGTATCCATAGGTAAGAGAGTGGAGAGAACTTATCTACCTTTTTGACCATTCTTGAATCCTTTTGCCAGATTACCAATCATCGGGATAATAGATGACTTTTCAGATCTAGTTACATGCCAGATTTTTAACCTCTTTATTTACCTTTAAGGGGCTGCCTGGAATGGGTGTAATGAGAGGGGGAAAAAATACATGAGTAATAATTCTGGATTTTTTAAAGTTTGAATCTAGGGTAATTAATTAGTGGGATAACCTATTCCCCTAAAAAGGGGGTTAAATATACCCACCTGCCCCTAGCGTAACTATTTCCCTTGTAAAAAAACACTCTCCACTGCTATACTGTATCTTCCTTCTCCCCTGCTATATACTATCTCCATCAACCCCATATCCCTCCACCCAATTGAAGATGTTGGCCGCCATTATAGCCGCCCGATGGAAGCTGCTAGCCGCCACCATGGCTCATCAATTCCAGCGAATTACGAACAAGTACCTTGAATCAGAGCCATTGGTTGAAGAGATAGTTGAACAAAAGGTTAGGGCTTTTGATCCTTTAAGTGAGGTGATGCTCGTGGTGGTCTCAAATTTATCAACGACATGGTGGTTGCCGCCGATTTCCATGAAGTGGTGGTTTATTACCCCAAGATTGTTGCCAAACCTTAGAAAATGAATTATTACTCTCTAAATCAATACTCTAGTAGAATCTACCCGATTAGATATTACCCCCTTCATAATTTCTGGAATTCCAGGCATGCCCTAAGAAGGCTAAGGTTCCCCAAGCAGGTGAAAACAGTATTGTGCAATACTAGTATGAAAAACCTATGAAAACGTGTATGTGTAAAGTGTTTTTTTAGGGAAGAGATGAAGCACTGCTCGTTCTGGTGTAGCTATAATGCACTTCTGGCATAACTATAGCTGGGTACTTGGGTTGTTATTCTAACGTAATACAGGACTAAAGGCTTTTTTTTTTCTTCAGATTCTTTGCTTTCGATTGGTTTATATCCTCTGATACGAGCATAAAGCCATGACTGTATTAGAGAAGACAAGGCCTAGCAAACAGAAAAGTAGATCTTCCAACCTATCTAAATTCAGAAATAATCTGAGAATCTGGATGGAAAAGACTAGCTGTTTGAACCATAAGTGAGCAAAAACTAAAATGGAGCAGCCTTGTAGGAGAAAGGAATATATAAGACAGCCAAAAAAGAAATTACAAAAGAATCAATGGAAAGGTTTACAACACATTAACATTCGGAATACACCTACCTGTGTAGGAGTGAGAACTGGCACTCGAACAGCCAGCGCCCACCGAAGCTCACGAATATCACGCAACTTTTTCCAATCTGTCATTCCTGATGCCTGACATTTTGTTGTCCAGTCGATTTCATTCTTTGACCACAACCTTCTAATAGCATCCTTCTCCATTGGCCCAACTTGAACACCAACCTTGTCAATGAGCGTCCATTCTTTCATGGGCTCCATAAAAGCAGTTGCAGCAATAAGGTTAGATTGCAGCGGAATGGTAGTTCTTTCAGAAGTTTCATGAACCACTGTCAGTAAATCTACAGCTAATACACATCCTCCAACCAAGACACAGGCCTCAATATTTGACAAAGCCTTCATCAACACCTGAACAAAGTAGAATTAAACATGTTACACCATCACCACCCCTCTTCAAAAAATATTATGATAATAAAGAAAAAAAAAATTGTAACAATCAAAAGAAATATAAAGTGATAAAAACGCAGCAGCACAATCAAACATGTAAATCATTAAAAAGATTCAAATATTCTACATTGGCAAGAGAGAAATGAAATTATAATAAAAAATAACTGAGCCCTTGACCTTATAATTCTAGAGTATAATAGAAGGGTGCAGCGTTCCTCAAATTTTTCTTAGGTTTGTTTCTTCCCAAGCAACACAACATTATAGGAAGTAAGAAATCTGCTTTCACTTGATTGGATATGCAAGAAGGTACACCAAAAAATAGATACATTATAGAAGTCTTTCAAGCATAAACAAAGAAGGATTTCAAAGATAGCAAGTAGGTAAAAAACTGCATGACATTTAGCACAGCCAAATACCAAACAAACTCCAACAACATACTGCACGTAGATGGAGAATTTTATTTTTATTTTTTTACACTCCCAAACTTTTAAGGGGTTCTTTATTTTAATCATTATGCAATTACTTATCAAGTCATACGTTATTTTTGCCTCACAAGACAAAAGCTTAAGAAAAGTAATAATCATATCCCTCGGAACACTCAATAATAAATAAATTAGAGGATGTAGGCCATAACCAAAACAACAAAACCAAAGCTTCAATCCCAAAAAGATGGGGTCAGCTATATATACACGATTCAATATCATCCATAAAGATTCTCTTACTCTATTCGCTTCTACCTAATGTAGCATGCCCTAGCAAACTCCCTTTATTCACATCATTATAAGCTCCCTCTATAAAAGTCATCTTTGGCTTCACACGAGCTAATATTATTTTAAATCTCCATCATCAAAACCCCCCACCATCCATGGTATAAAGCCTTGGTCACATAACTGCATCATGAGTTCATCACCACCTTGTTTACAAGGTTTTGAACTGTGACAGCAATATTAACCCACAACACCCACAAACCATACACATTGCCCACAAAAGTAGTTCTCTTACAGTTGCATCTGACGTTTAAAACATGACCAAACGTAGCCGATTTTAAGCAGTTGTATCCTAACTTTAGCAACTCACACATCCATCCCAGCATCTACAACAATTCATCTTCATAATATGATCCCTCTAAAATTCTCAATCATAAGATATCATCTGTCAGATTGTCGTCCCACTTAATTCTCTTTGAAACCTTAAACGCACAATACAGTTCCACAATGCTCTCCATTAAAGCATTCTTCTATGAGTTACACATTAGTAAATATCTTTACTTCTTTGTAAATATCATACAAGGAACTCCTTACCATCTAATGTCACAACATCCTTGCTCCTCCCCCTCCCAATAATAAAATTGCACAACATCCTAAGCCCTCGAGGTTCTAATTTTTCTTTCAACTTAAGTACTTAATATTAATCCAATCATGTTCCTACATTCAAAATTGTAGTAAAGAAGAAAGGACTTACAGGAATCGTGGGGAACCCACCATTATAGAGAAATCCTCCATAACCTGGCATACCCTACTTCGTCATAGATCACCAAAGCACATCTCTCGACACCTTGCTTCTGCATTCTTTGGATCAATGAAGACCATGAGCAAGTCCTTTTTTATAATAAGCCATTAATTGTCTCAGAAGATGAATGGCTTCTATGTTAAATTGTCTCGAAATAAACCAAAATTGATGCTCAAAATAATAATACATTTCCTCCGTCTATGCTCAATCACATGCTCTTCACAATTTCATGGTTTGACTCACAAGCTTTATCCTTGAACAGTCTTGTGCATATCCTTCGTTTTTATAAACAAATAACAAAGTAATTTTTCCTCTTATATCTTGGTTGTCTCCAATTCTATTTAATACATCCACTAACCGTTCAATACCAACCTATATTAAGCGTCTTTGAGCCTCAATTAGAATAATATCTAGCCTAATTGCTATCCTCATTTTCATCAACTCAATGATTCCTCTACCTTTATTTTCTAAATCCTTCACCTCCATCCATCCTAAAAGTTAGTATCTTGAAGAAGAATATGTTACTTGTTCACCATATAGAGGTCCTTAGCCATTACTTGTCACATCCTAGGCTCCTAGCTATCCAATAAATATCTAATTCACCATCCTCAAAGGCTAGTTTGTCATATGAATCCTAATATATTTTCACTTAGCCTCTAAAACAAATTCTCTCACTATCTTTCTGACACCTTAAAATTCGAAATAGTTATTTCAGCTCTACATTTTCCAACAGCTAATAAAGCAATTACATTCTCTATTCTACTGAATTGTTGCTTTTACATCTTTATTCCACCATTTTGTGTCCTAGTACACTGGTGGTTTACTGTTCAATTGTCCAAGAAGCTCCATTGCTACTCTACAAATACAATCATGTATCAGAGTAGTTGCACTTTACCCTAGTACTTCCTTTGTTCAAAAAGAAAATGCAATAATTTGACTAGCACGATTTCAATGTTTAACATTAAATACATAAATATTCAATTAGTTTTTAATAAAAAAAAAGTTATGTTATGAAAATTTACGAAAAAAACTAATTCAATAACATTTTAATTGATAGCATTTACTTTCTAAAAATTAGTAAGAAATATGTAGTTAAAGTTTGCATATTAGTGCAAAATTATGTTCTAATTTGCACAATTAATACAGCTCTATCTACCATTCTTTCCAAAACAAAGTTGATTTGAGTTGCATTTGTTCCACTTCAACATGCCACCAAATGGATAGGACAAAAGATTTCAAAGACATAAAATACATGCTCATCACATTGCTTTTTAGATGTTATGCAAGAAAAGACCATACACAAAGACTAATACTTTGTATATCTTTAGACTGTCAGATGATCAACATAACAATAGATAACTAACAGTTGAAAATCAATGAAAAATTAATGGACTAATATGTTGCCATAATATGAAAAGCACGCGTAGCTCATTAGACAAGGGGAGTATAAGCAAGACAGTTATCATTTTATCAACCTGCAACACAGAGAGAATTAGAAAATGCATAAAACAGCGCAGAAGGTAAACTAGACATCTAACAGAGGGTAAGGCATTAGATCATCCTCTGAATCTGTAAAATAATAGCATATAGAGATATGAACATTGAAAAACAAGCTACAAACCATACTTTGGGGCAAGATTCCCTTTTCCACAAACATATACTATATCATAATTGCACCATTTACACATTTTTAACACATGTATTTCAAGTAAAGATTTATTGTGATATACCACTACAAAACAGAAACAGTTGAAGTACATGTACCTTCAGTAGAAGAAGCAGACGGTGCCTCAAGGCTCGATCATCAGTCCTATCTAGGAGCACAGTTATATGAGCAGTGCCTTCAAAAGGTCCAACAGTGAGGCAATGCTGTTCATAGACAATCGCCATAGCCCGTGCACACAGCTCTCTTACAGAAGACCCGCCTCCACCACCAAAACCATCCAGCCTTCCCATATCACACCAATCATCAGTTTTGCCAAGTTCATCAGGTATAACACCATCCACAGTGAGCCCTACATCAGCATCGCATAAGAACCTATGGTATAGAGCTCTAAAGAAAGCAACAGGGTCCCGGAGTGGAAAATCTTGTGCTCTGCCACTATTGCCAATCTCAAGAAGCAAACGAAGATAGTATTGACCCACACAAACTTCTTTAGACAAGCTAGGATACCTAACAGAAAACTCAGAGTAGTTCCATGATATTTGAGGCACATCATTTGACCCAGCCATATTCTCAGTGGTTGAAACTCCAGGAACTATATCTTCTGTACGCTCTTTCTCCACATCCAGATTATGAACCTCTGCCTGCAATGATTCCCTAAGCTCTTGCCGAGAACGTTCATTCCAGATAAGATCTGCACGATTATGATCAAGGCTGAATGCTCGCCAAAACTCAGGCCAGTTAAGCAACAATCTCCCAGATCCAACTGGTGCGCTCTCTACAACAACCTGAGCAGGAGCAGGAACCCCTGAGTTCTGCAGCCCACCCACATTCACATCGGAATCAGCTGAATTTGAAGCAACAGTATCAAAAGGACCATTATTGGCTGATTGACCATCAAATGGAACATCAGAACCTGTATGATCATGTTCTGGAGCAGAAGGGGGCATATCAGTACTTAGGTTTTCTCTTGGCTGAACAGGTGTAGAATGCGCTCCAGCATGCATCTCCGGTATAGGTCTCTGATCAAGGACCCTATGGGCATCTGTCTGCTTTGCAATATCATCAATATCATTGGTATCTGCAGATGTCATGAGATGCTCCTCGGTTATGGAGGATTTCACAGTCCGTCGCTTCCTCTGTTGAAGTAGTCGTCTCTGTCTCTGTCTCCGACTGATTGACGTGCTTAATGGATCATTTGAATCTTCAACTTCCTCACAGCGTGTATGTAGATATGCAACAAGCCCTGGCGGCAGGACTCTTGACAATAAATCAAGAGCAGGTTGATAAGAGTCAGCCCAGAGAGCTACAAGCTGTCGACTAATATCACGCCTTTCACCTACAGGTAGGAAAAAAGCATGCAACAAATGCCTCAACAAAGCACCATCTCGCAAAGCAGCATCACGCATGGATTCAGCAGCTATGGCATCTTCCTCAGCTATTGTGCGCATGAGGACTGCAACTGTCTCCCTCACACTTTCGGCAGGATGAGCAAACAAGGCAAAAAGGCGACGCCGTAAGCCAGCAACTTGTCGCAATAGTTCAACAAATACAGTGTACTGAGTTGTTTCTCCATGAGGCTCACAAATCATAGCTTCCAAAACCTCAACTACTGCCATAGATAGCAACGGTGAAACTGACATGGGTTTCAATCTGTTCACAAGGATGACTACATAACTGTGATGGGAAAACAAAACTGCCTTTGTATGCATGAAAGTTGCATGCCTCTCCCCTTTGGTGTCAGTCAAAGCACTTGTGTCGCCAGGACCACCACCAATCAATAATGCAACAAGGGTAGCAGCTTCAGCAGCTACACCTTCAGAACCATTTCTAAGCAGACCCATTATTCTTCCGACAGCCGCGGGAAAAGAAATGACATGAGAAGCTGCACTTTTTGAAGCCAACAATCTACGTAGGCATGATATAAATCCAGTAATTGTCGCAGCTGCTTTGGGAGAAGGTGGGGGCAAGGGTGGGGACTCTGGAGGAAGATTTGGTGTGGCAGGCAACATTGTTATTAAAGCCATCAATGTCACTTCTGGTACATCAATGTTTGGAGGCACTCCACTGTATGGAATACATGCATTGAATTCCCTAATTCTGCGCCAAAGCTTAGCTCTTGAACCGGGAATAGAACCGCCTTCAGCAACAGCATCTTTGGCAGCAGCTGCAAGATGTTTCAAATGCATTGATACACTTTCAATATCAGCAGCAGGATGTTGCAACTTCAGCAGACGAACTCTCCCACAAGGTGGGTCAATGCGATGACCAGGCATTGTTAATCGTGGTAGAATTGGCACCGCACACTGAACCTGCTCCATTCCAAAAAAAAGGCTCTTCTTATCAAAACTATAATGTAGTTTACAATTTCTTACAAATAATAATAATTTGTTACTATAACTTTTCACTAATTAGAGTCAAAAGCTGTTAATCAAGAAAGAACACATCTACCTACTTCAGTCTGCAACAGATCACGAACTGCAGCAAGCAAGCTATCACGAGATGTGCTTGAGTAGACCTAGCAACAAAGGGGGTCAAGAGTTGCTATGAATGTGATTATGCAAATGCATCAGCATAAAAACATTTACAAAATTATCACAAATTGTACAAAAAACACTGTGTTCTCACATGAATTGGGCAACCATCATTAAATTCAATTGCAAACATCTGTGGCTCTTCAGCGAACCGGACAAGAGCACTAACAGCAGATAATGGACGAACGATGACAGCCTGCACACGTCAACATATACTCATGTCGCATAATATAAACTTGCAATTAGTGAAAATTTTCCACATTCAAATCAAGCAAAAAATAACATGCAAGATACCAGAACTCGATTTTAATTAATACAAACTATACGCAGTAAATTTCTAGAGAGGAACAGCTTAAGGATATTTTTTACTCACTTTGTGGTTGCTAGGTTGTGTTCTTTTTCATTTCCTTTCCCAGATTGTTCTAGATGTGTCTACCCAAAATTTGTCTTCCCCCCCCCCTTTAACACCAATGCCACCACTGTTACCTCCCTACCTCCCCCCCTCCCCCCCCCCCCCAAAAAAAAAATAAAATAAAATAAAATAAAATTCACGCCAAAATTTTTACCAATTCTAAATGCTGGGGTAGATCCTATACATTGGTATCATGGACGGCAGAAATGGGAGCATCATGTAAAGTGGAAAAATCATATAATTGTGGGAAACTGACACAAAAAGATTGTTTCCCTATCCAAACATCTTTCCAAAAAATAATGGGATGGCCATTCCCAATCTTGAAACTCACAAAAGAAAAAAAGGAGGTGTTTTGTTTGCATAGGGTAGAGGGAATGAAAATAAGAAAAGCATATAAGAAAAAAGGAAAGAAAACCCCAACTTTCACATGTTTGTTAATACAGGATAAACAGAAAGAAAAAGGAAAAAAAAAAAAAAAAAACATTATCCTTCTCTCTGTTGGACAACGAAGAAGATTGGATGGCTGTTGATTGCCGCTTTGTTGTTGAAGTTCATTTTTGTTGTGGGGAGAGAGAGAAAACTACAAAAAGGTTGTGGAGAATGAGAATGGGAAACCTTAGGGGGTGAGGAATGGACACAAGGATGAAGGCAAAATGAAAAAAGGGTAAACTGGTAAAGGGAATGACAAAAGTGACCAACAAAACAACACCAAAGGGAATTTGTTATTTCCATTCCCCTTTTATAAAGATCCCAAACCAAACGCCCCCTAATACAGAGCATACTTGTGATGTAAATTTCCATACAAACCACACTAAGTATCTCACCCATGTAGTGATTCCCATACTTGCTCCACAATAAAAATAAAAATAAAAACACAACAACAACAACAACTACTACTACTACTACTAATACTACTACTCCACTACTATAAGTATCATACTTATCATCATTATGTCATTTTTTTATATATATATTTGAGCTGCAAATATGAATACATTCTGAATCATTCAGGGTTTTACCTCGAAAAGACATGCACTCCTTTTAAAGTAAAACAAAGTGAGCAAAAAATATGGAAGGCATAAGTGAAATTACAATATTTATAACACGACAGTGGACATCCCATGATCATTGATCAACGACACAAGTAAACAACATCACCTGGCTCATAAAGCAGGATATATATGGAAAATCAATGAGTAGTTTATAAATTCATGAGAACTTAAATGCTACAATATACAGCTTTACTTCCAATTGCATACCTCATAGTTATCTGGCCGCCTCTCAACCAGAGAGACTTTTGTCAGTATCAGTTGACGTGATACAGCATCGCCATAATCCCCTAGCCCTCCTCTTGGCCCAATCCCTAAACTCAAACTTGGAAGATTTACAGTTCCATGAGCCGCAGTTCTGAGTCTTGTCACCAACCAACCCCCACAGGGAGTTTCATCTGCTCCAACCGCCTCTTTAGCTGCAGTTTCAGAGAGAGGCAATGTCAAGAAAGGGGGCAGGAGGCAGAATATAAAGTCAAGAAGTAAAGAAATAACGCATCAGACGCTTAAATCAGAAAAAGGAAAAGCCTACCCCTTTGCTTAATATACTCGACAGCAGAGAGCGATTGCGAACTATCCACAGAAAGTGATACCCCAACCATGGTTTTTGCAACTTTGGTCTGCACAAATTTTATCAGCAGATAAGATCAGTGAAGTAAGCATTAAAGAAATTCATACAATCAACATTTTTCATATCTCAGAGAGTTAACCCCTACCAAGGGCATCTGATTGCCAACTGACCAGAGATTCTAAATTAAGGTAACAGCAAGAAGCAATCATGGGAAAATGCAGCTAAGAAACCATGCATACCAGGTTTGATATTATCACATTGGTTGATGTCCCAGAAGCAGCTTGAAATGCTTTTGACTTTCTTCCATATAATGGGCAAAGCACAAAACCACCATGCTCACCACCTTTTCTTCCATAGGTATCAGACAGCAGAATAATAGCAGGGGAGTTCATGTCTCTGAAATCTAAGCACCAACGAAGGTTCCCAGAATTCAAGTCAACAAGTTCAACTCCGATTGATGTAACCCTTATTTTCTGAATAGAGCCAATGCAATACAAAAAAATGTAAGAAAACAAGACTACAATAACATTGAAAAGAAAATTATACTCAAATATAAAACAATACAAAGGAGTAGCTACAAATATTGAGAAATTTCTCCGGGATTATTAGTGTTGCAACTTGCAAGCAAATAGCATTTACTTGAATTTATCATACTAAAATGATAGGTTGAATTTCTCCATGTAGGTCACTTAAGCTCTATAGTGTGCTTCTAAGAGTGACCCCTAGATAAAGTATTTTTTGAAATCCTACCATTGAAAAATGTCCATTTAAATGTCTGAATCAGTCATGGCGAACATAATTCGATTCAGACACTCACAAATACAGCCCTACTTTATCATCACAAATTGCAATTAATTTTTATGAGGCTTATATGGTTTATGAGAGCTGCATAAGAAAAAGGGGGGTTAATAGATACTATGGGCCAGAAAGGGTTGATAAAGAGATGAGGAAACATTAAGGAAAACAGGCATTGACCAGTAGAGCTCAGATGAAGGGAGCGAGAATGAATATGAGAAGAGTAGAAGGAATTATTCCCTACTTAGTTACCCTTCCCTTCTGCACTTTTAAGGAACTGGCAAACAAGTGGGCTAATCTCAAAACAGTTCACTAATTAAACCTTTTTAATCACTCTTCCCCTTTATTAGTATGAAGTTAAAACCCAATTCCCTTCAACAACTTGTGACAACAGCCAAAAAAACAAGTTGAACCTAGCAGAATGCATAAAAAGTCTTACGTCATTTAAACCTTCTACACAATAGTTCAATTAGAAGAGAACCAAAATAAATTCATTTGGCAGGTATTTCCAGATTTCTTACTCTGGTAGAGTGTAAATTGGATAAGTCTAGAATTTGTTTTCAAAAGGCACAACACTAAATTAATACCCATGAATCCGGAGCAGAGGCACAACAGACATGGAGCATAAGAGGCAATACCCATGAATCCAGTCTGTTGGGTTTATAAGCTTAATTTTACTGTCATGAAACAAATATAAGATGCCTCCACTAAATTCATCCTAAAAGAGTGATGAACCTAGAATTCTAAAGCAAGTAAAAAGTTTTTAAAAAATATTGCTCTTGCCTGGGGCCTAGCACACACCAGGCCCTTTTAGACAAGTGTTCACTCTTACAAAAACTATACCATCTACAACAAAGACAACCAGGGATCCCTAAACATTGATAAAGAGAATATATGCATGGCGTTAACCAACAGAAAATTCAGGTCCTTAACAGGCCACAAAAGCAAGAATTCACAAGATTAAAGAAAGGCCAAGTCGACAGATCTACCCCACAGTTAAATGAAAAGTGTATGCCATAAGCCAGTCAGTTCATTCCAGCCACAACACCTTTTTTTTTTTTTTGCATTGATAGAGTAAATGGCATGGACACCAATCCGCCCTATAGGAAAAAGGGTGGACCATGGTAAAAATAAAAAAATAAAAAAAAATAAAAAATAAAAAAAATTAGCACGCATATTATCAACATAGTTCATAACATTGACGGCCAAAAGAACATTCATCTTCTAGTCTTGTACCATCGAACCAATGGAAGAAATTTCAGATTTGCAAGTGCAATAGGAGAAATGAAGTATACTTCATCACCTAAAATAACAAAAAATGCAGGGTAGACAAAAAAGTTGCAAGATCTCAATGCAAAAACAAAAAGAATCCTCAATTCTAGTCACTCCAACAGACATCCACATAAGTACATAATATAATAAGAAGTTAAGCACAGTGGAAGAGAAATGACAGTATTTGACCTTGGAATCTAAAATTTATCATAAGTGTTAAGTGCATCGAAAACTAATGTCCTAGCGAAGCCTATAATTTTTTGGAAACCAATAGTTTCTATATAATTTGGACAGAGGTGAGAATGAGCATTTAAAGCTGCTCAAGTGTTTATGAAAGGATTTGCACAAAAGGATGGGGGAGGAACCCCCCCCCCCCACCACCCCAAATACCATAAGAGTATCCACAACATTGTAATACCTAAAGACCTTAAAAATCTATCAGCTCCCCAGTCCCAATCATATAGGATTTCCACTTTATTGAATGTTTTAACAGGTGATATCCCCTTCTCTTCATACATCAGAAACCACGAGTATAATGTAGCAAATAAGGACAATAATGCCGGGACAAAAGGCATAAAAAGATTGTTTTCGTTCACGAGATTTTCATAGTAGCCAACCTTCATAGTTACCTGCCATATATCTTGCCAAGGGAGTAGAGACTACAATTATAGGGCAAGTGATTTTACGCCTACATAAGGTATGTCCCCTTTAAAGTCATTCTAACAACATCCAAATTGGAATAGCTATGAGTTGCATGTAATTTTATAGCCTTCCAATTATTCGCGTTTTCATCTTAACTGGAATAAGCATATAATTGTTTCATACAGCAATTTATCTAACACTCTAAGAAGATTTGACATAAGCATATAATTGTTTCATACAGCAATTTATCTAACACTCTAAGAAGATTTGACATAAGCATATAATTGTTTCATACAGCAATTTATCTAACACTCTAAGAAGATTTGACATAAGCATATAATTGTTTCATACAGCAATTCAGCTAGATACAATACATAATCAGCTCATAATTCACACTGTCCAACAAGAAACAAGTACAAATAATCCAAACTACGATTAAACAAACCAAAGTTAAAACAATGAAACTTACATAAGGAACCCACTCGGAATTCCGCCTCCGAAGATGAAGCACAGGATACTCAGCCACAGCACCAACCTTAATCCCTTTAATCCTATACAACTCAGTCAAAATACTAGCTCGATACCTCGACGAGAACTTTATAGACTTAAACTTCCCTTTCCCATCAGTCCTAACACTCAAATTAAACTCAACAGAATTCTCATCACGCCCCAAAATCGGGGACGCCCATTCGAAATCACTCCCAACATCATACGAATTCGTGACTAACAATGTAGAAGGATCAAGCGTAATAATACCCACATTAGACAAGCACAATATCCTCTTGTACCGCCCTCGCCACGAATGCTTAATCACTAAGTACCTAGCCAAGTACTCAGGCTCCTCAGCAACAGGCGGGGCAGAAGACGAAGGCGGCACAGCGGGTTCCGGGTTACGGTGTTGATCAGCAGTGGTGGTGGCAGTTGTGGGTGTCGCGGAATGTCGGCTTACAAAGTCCATTTGTGGAAGGTATTCTAGAGTGTGAGCTTTGGGGACATTTGAGCGTAGAAACCAGAACCCTAAACCGGCATTTGCCGGTCTTTGCCGAGACTGATTCGCCCCCAGTTCTTCTGATTATACCTCCCTTGATGAATCTTCTCCAGGTTTATCGATCAACAATTCAACTCAATTCAAATTCAATCACCAATTCCAATCCCAATACCAATTCCAATCCCAATACCAATTCCAATTCCAATTCAAATTCAAATTCAAATTCCACCATTAACAAACGACGATGATGAAGATGATGATGAGGAGGATGAAATTGAGGAATTCTTGAATGTTAATCCGATGAAATTCGACAAGAATTGATTCAGAAATCAAATTGGAAGCAGAAATTGAGTGATTTGGAAGTGGGAAAAGAGGAGAGAGAAAGAGGAGTTGAATTGGGATTGAAATGAGGTGATCGACAGAAGAAGAGAGAGAGAGAGGGCGCCAGGTAAAGGGGGCCGGCAGCGTTGGTGTCGCCAGCTCTGTCGAAGCGAACTTTAAAAGAGGTACTGAAATGTGAAATATGATGCGGCAAATTGGCGAAGTGGGTGTGCCTTGGTTGTAGTAGTGTTGGGATGATGCTACTAGATTTTTTGAGTTTGAGAAATACAAGTAGGTTGCTAAAGAAAAATGTGGAAAGGTAGTTGCAAAGAAATTGACGGGGAGAAGGAAATTCACATTATTTTCATGATATGATGTATCATGTAGTCCAAATAATATACTTGAGAAAAAAATAATAATGGTACTTGGTAATTATTTTGAAGTAAAGCAGGTCTACGGTGGGTGAATGCCTATAATAGTTGACATTAGGTCATTAGCTACGTCCTAATTTAATGTAAGGTAAAAACTTTTTGCCACCTATTTATGATATGAGGATGTCCTCATTGACCTATTAGATTAACGTAACGTACTTCGTTGATCCAGTGGTGTTATTATAATATTGAGTAACGATAGGATTGTGTCAGCTCCTTACTTATCATTATCACTTGTTGAGTCAGATTCAACGTAAGGTTGGCATTAACTACATCTTCTTCATCTCACATTAACTCCATTTAAGAAGCTCGAGCTTTTAACTCCACCTTCATCTTCTTCATCCTCACCCACCTTTCACAGACGACGCCAACACATTCCACCACCATTTTCAACAGCTTCGCCATCGAATTTAACGAAATATCCTAAGAAAAAGGGAGAACTATAGGGCATGGTCCACCCAAGAGGGTGGGGGTGACGTGTTCATCCATTGAAGTTGCCCATGAGCCTGAATCTCTCCATTAAAACTTCTGAAATTTTCATTGAAACTCTTCTAATTCAAGATCCTCTATTATCGTCATTACACAAGTTTTAATAGTGTTAACTTCTTTTATAGTTGAAATTACAAAATTACCCATATTTAAATGCGTAAATTGTCCATTATATCCTTAGATAAACAGATTTCTTTTACCAAATAGATCAACTCGTATATTCTCATTATAATACATAACTTGTCTATTTTATTTTCATACATAGTTGTGGAAAGTAGCTTGCAATTTCTTTTTTTGTACAACATTTATAAAACATAACTTGTCTATTTTATTTATAGCTTTTTTTTTAAGATTACCTGACCTCTTGAATATACCAAGGTTCTCAAACCACCACAACTTGCATCCCAGTATGATACTTATTCAAACTTTAGATATTAATATTTTGATTATACAAATTTATTAGAATATTATATGATATTTTTATAATTGGATGAATAGTAAGGGATAACTCACCCTTTATTAAAAGGTGGATTATCCCCCCCCCCCAATTTTACCACATAACTCTTATTTCCTTTTAATCCAAAATCACACAAATGTTTTCTTCTTCCTCCAATCACCATGCTCCCTGCTACCAACCGACATACTCCCTACCTTTTCACCTCTAAGGAAGATTTGAGAAAATTAAACAATATACTTAGTTTCAATTAAGGTATTAGTAGTTTTGATAATGGCAATGATGATGTTCATCATCATACACAAGAAAAGTTGGGATTTTTTCGACAAAGAATTAAAACAAAGTGCACATGGTTTCAGTAGATTATAAGTGCATTTAGTTAAAATGAGTGTGTATTTTGTAATTATCAATAATAAAAGTTAAAATTTGATTAGATTGAGTAAAGAAGATTTTTTTAAAACACACACACGCATGCATGGAGAGGGAAAGGTGCAGTCGATCGCTGCTACCAGTGATGCTGGTGGTAGTCAGCCGATTATGCGTGAGGGAGAGGGGAGGGGGAGTCGTGAGGAAAGAGGAGAAAAGGAGAGAAAGGTGGGGGTTTTTACCTTTTTGAAATCAACTTGTCCAAAAGTGTGAGATTTTTCAATGATGGGATATTTATAGCTTTCTCCATTTTAAGTTGGTTAGAACTACAATTGTGCTATTAATGAATGAAAAGACAAGTTAGCCCCTCTTCTTTTTATATTAGAAAATACTAAAGCTTACTTACTTAAAATATTCTAAGTAAACCTTATGTAATTTAAAATCAGAATTTAATATATGTTTGCCCCATTTTTTAAATCATAAAATATTATTGACTTAATGATTCTTAAAAATACATTTTATAACTATTAAATTAACTTATAAAATGCTTAAAACTATACGGGGTATTACAGCATACTCTTTAAAGTTAAAAACCTCCAAAAGTTTCTCCTTGTAGCGTCCATCTACAAATAAACGAACTTAATAGTCTTATTACTTAAAAATCTCCAAAATTTTCTCCTTGTAGCATCCTTCTACAAATAAACGAATTTAATAGCCTTATTAGCTATCTAAAAACATGGACCTAGTCAATTACTTTTTAAATAAAATATTAATTTTTTAATTTAAAAGGTTTAAGTTTAAAGGGTGTTACAAATTGGTATAAGATTCATGTTTCTCTTAGCTTGGGTTGATATTGGAATCTTCATATCCTAGAGTCGGTATTAGAGGTTTAAATTAAATTTGTGATTTTATGTAAAAAAAAAAATTATAATTTTATAAATAAAATATCTAAAACTGAATTTTTTTTTACTGATTTTTTAATTAATTATTACTTTTGAATTAATTAACCCTAATCATGCCTATGGTTAAATACCCCATTATACCCCATTTTTATCGTGCAAATTCATTGTTAACCCTCAAATAATAATTTTTCATCTGCATTCTCCCATCACAATAGTCAATTCACTCAATTGTGCAATGTTGAATTAGGGTATAATATGGGAGAAAGTAAAGATATCTTAGCCCAAAAAAGGGTTCTTTGATTATAACTATTCCTATAAAAAGTTATTGATCAATACCTTTAAAAGTGTTTAATTTAAAGGATTACTTTTAATGGACATGGATGGGATTATGGGGTGAGATGGGTAATTAGATTGTATAAGTGAAGTTTGCTAAGCCATGTGAGGCTTTCTTAATTAATGCCACTTATTTTAATAGTTATGAAGAAAAGTGTGTGTTGCTAATATAAGAAATTGAAAGAAGTAGACAAAAATAGATAAGGACTAAGCTAAAAAAAAATAAAATTAAAAAAAAAAAAAAAAAAAAAATAATAATAATAATAATAATAATAATAATAATAATAATAATAATAATAATAATAATAATAATAACAGACATTGAATTTAAATTGGATAAAGCTACGCTAGGCTGCTAGCTAATGAAAACTCAAAAGTCATGAGAAATATCTCGGCTTCTTGAGTTAACATGTCCAGAGTTCTGCCCTTTTAATCTTGGAGATGTTTTCAAGGACTCTTGCAGGTGACAAATTTCCCATAACTGTAACTCTTTTTGTTTCCAAGTCTATGTTGAATGATGTAACCCCTGCTAATCACCAACATTAAATTTAAGCTGTTTGAAAATCAAAAATATCGATAATATATTGTTTGATTTATGTGATACAATAAATAACATGGGGTAAAAACTCATAGTTTAATAAGTGTATGTATTACAGTATCAGAAATACCATGTCATCCTTTGTGCTTTTGGATTTCATAATTAAAGTAACATGATACTGTACAATAAATAGCATGGTTATATTAACACGTAACATGATGATAAATGTAAATAAACTCTAATTTGAAAATAACATCATGGTAAATTAAAAATGGCAAGGTTGAAAATAGCATGAGGATGAGATAAAAATAATTAAGTTCAAGAACATTGGAGTATATGTCGAGATAGGGTAGGACCCTCTTTTGAGTTTTATCGTAATAAATAAAATTAATTCGAAAATAACATGTTTTTGGTTAAATAATGTGCATCCAAACCGTGGTTATATTTTTTATTTAACAATAAAGAAAAATAACTAAATCAACCCATTGAGTACTACCATTGTTATTTTTGTCATGAAATAATGCAATTTTGGAAGGATCCGACGATGGAAAAACTGTTGTGGAAACCCTTATTATTGTCGTGAAATCAAAGAACATTCTAAGAGTCCCGTCATAATATACTTAGAAAATCCAAGTTTATCTTAGATATAAACTTGCAAACACATCTCATCTCACAATCAAATCCTTTTCTTTTATTTTTCAAGTAATAAAAGTTTGTTTTTTAAATAAAGTGGCACGAAAACAAATGTATCAATTAAATTGTGACAGGAGATTCGGAAGTTAACCTGACAGGCTCCATAATATATACGGAGTACCCTTTTTATTATTTTCGTTTTTTTTATGGAAAATGTGAATTAAAGAAGGATATAACCCTCAACTTTGATCCCATTGAGAATTAGACACTACTCTTTTGAAAGTTGGTGCTTCGAGTGAATAAACTACAATCCTAGGAAAATTAAAGTTATAGCCTAAATTTTTTTTATTTTTTTATTTTTTTTTTATATTTTTTCATTCTATATTATTATAGCCATTTAGCCCTTGTTTAGTTTAACTTATTTTTACTCATTTTCGAAAAAAATAGTTTAGATCAGATGAAAACAGAAAAAAAAGTTCAGATCAGAAAAAAAAAAAAAAAAAAAAAAAAAAAGTTCAGATCATCATTATATGTGCAGTTTTTTATCGCTAAATATCTTTAATTTCGTAATGAAAAAAATTATAAAAATTACATATTAATAAAATACACATTATTACGAATCTAACAAGACCTGTTTCGGGGTTTTCTGATGTCCTGCGGGAGAGTTACAATTCCGAGACTGGAACCGGACGCCTGTACCTGCAAAACAAACGGATGCTCCGGATGATTGGAGATCCGCCTCCGACGGTCAAGTTAGTACTTGATTAAGGAGTAATTAATGCGGAAATTAAAGTGATTGGGTCTCTCTAGGTGAGAGTGTTTAATGTGTGTAATCTGCGTAATCTCCCTTAATGAGGATTAAGGGAGGTATTTATAACCTCGGGAAACGTGCCAATCTAGGTTTAGGTTAACCTTGGGCTGATTGGGCTTCCCTCGGAAGTTGGGCCTAGGTGACCGGCTTCTCCATTAGGCATGGAGTATGCCACGTGTCATGACATAATAAGTCCAGGGTGGACGAATAAGCGTGTGCCACGTGGCAAGCCCTGAGAGGTCCAACTGGGGGACACTTGGCAGGACCTGATTGGCCCACGTGGCGCATTCCGATTGGTGGGAGCAAAATCCCCTAATCATTTGCCCCTCACAGGTGGCACGTGACTGGTCACGTGTTACCTGTGACAAGTGTCGCCCTGTAACAGGCGACAGCCTGCTACAGGTGTCACTCGGCGAGAGGCCGAGAGATTCTCCCGCCAAAATTTTGAATTCTGGAAGTGACCCTTCGCCTTCTCACTTCGCCTATATAAAGGAGTGTTGACTTCGGTCATTTTCACACTTGAAAACTTTGTGAGAGAACATTCGGACCCCTGAACTTGCTCTGACATTTTGGACCCTTTCTGCCTACCGCCTGCTCTGACAAGCCGATTGCAAAGGATTTTCAGAACTTCATCAATCGTCACTCGTTCAGGTAACCGTCGGTTCTCTTACTCTTAATTTTCTCTTTACTTTATTCTTTTTTGAAATGGCACCACGGAAGCACACGACACGACCTAGGTTAGTGATCAGCCGGTCACCGGGGACGGCTGAATCTAGGACTAGGAGTGCCGCCTTCCCTTTTCTGGACCCATCTTTGCCCTTTATACAAAGTCCGACTGTATCTGTTTCTATGCAGAGCATGATGGCCAGAACAAAAAAGACTGCCAGGATCTCAAATTCAGACGGCTCCTCCCACAGGGTGCCGATTAGTGAAACATCTGACCAGGCGCCAGATGTGGAAGTGAAACAAAGCGGCTTGAAAGCCGGCAGTTCTGAGGGAGGAGTCAAAGTGACCCCTTCCCATTTTACAGTTGACAATTCTACATTCTCTCCTGCTCCTTTGAAAGGAGAGGAGGCGGGCCCCTCCGGGAGAGGGGAGGAGTCGTCCTCTTCGGACTCGTCAGAGGACGAATCCGAGTCTAGCTCTTCTGGCCATGCTTCTCTGGACACAGAAGAGAAAAACAGTCGCCTACAAGAGGCGAGGCTTTCTCACGCAGTTGAGAAGGGGGACGATTAGGCGGAGCCATCCGCCTCTCACCGAGAGCAAAATACCCCCTACTACTGCACGGTACCTCGGGGCCGGATCACGGCCATGCAAGAGAAAGTGGGGAGCTTTATCGCAAACCACACAATGGGCCCCGGCTTCTTAGTGTTCGTGCCGGATCCAGAAGACACAGTCGTCTGGCTGGCTGGTACCAGTTATGATGGCGCCTGCTTTGGCTGCTACGAGGCGGCCATCAAGGCTGGGCTGCGCTTCCCACTACATCCGGCTGTTAAACGGATCTTGGATGGGTATGAGTTGGGGTTATGGCAGTTAGCCCCGAACTCTTGGGTCAACGTACTCGGCTATGTGGCCGGGTGCGAACTGCACGGGGTGGAGCCGAACTTCGAGGCTTTCGCCCACATGAACTACCTCAGTCGGACCCCTAAGGCAAGCGGTACCGGCTGGTATCAATTGACGAGCCACAGGGGCTACCTCATGACGAGAGGTAAAGCAAACAAATGGAAGGACTGGCGGAGCACCTTCCTTATCATTGAGAGTTCAGACACTGAGCTGAACAAGCGCTTCAACAGGTGGAACATGAATCTTCCCCTTCTTGCAGGTGGCCGCAGCATGCCGCCTGTTCCCCCCAAGGCTAAGAAAGAGATCCTAGATAAAGGACTCTTCAAAGTAGAGTCGAAGGTGAACTCTACTTCAGGGGTACGAGAGCAAGTACCCCTGCACTGCGTCCCGAGCTTCAAATGGCTATACGACGAGTACTTTTTGGCCGCCTGTGGCCTCAGCAGTCGGTGCTCAAGAGGTAGCCGGCCTGTCGAATACTCTGTTGTTCCGTGCATTTCTTGTTATGACTTTTATTAACTGTGCTATTTGTTTTTGCAGCGGACACCATGAGCAAAATTACCGCCTCCAAGACTGCGGCGACCATGCTGCGGGCCTCCATCATGCAACAGTTTTCAACCGACTCCCCTAACAAGGGGGCACCCTTGGTGGGCTTCGAACCTTTCACCCTCCTTTTGGAGTTGTGTTTATGCATATACTGACCCTTTTCTTCTTTTATAGACGGGCGCTCCAAGAGCTTCTTCTTCCCAACAGTCGGACCCCAAGGCCCGGAGGACGACTGTTGCGAGCTCTCCTGGTTCTGCCAGGAAACATGCGGCGGCGGAGAAACAGCCGGCCACTTCTTCTAAAACTCCAGCTGGGCCACCTAGAAGTATGAAATTATCCTTGTAAATTTTAGACTCGCTCCCTCCTTTACTAGGTCTAATCCGTTTGTTTATGCTTGATGCAGCTGGGCCTCAGGAGCCTGACTTGGTCGAAGTGGCCAAGTCTATGATCAAGGCCGTACCTCCAGCTGAAAGGGAGGCGGTCAGGGGTGTCGGCACCCTTGACCTAGATGGGATTGCAGGGGTCCTTGCTGAGGTATACTTAGCATATTTTTGAGTATTTGAATTCCAGGACGCCTGTTTTCTTTTTTGTTTGGAAACTGACGCCTGTTCCCCTTTTTACTTAGGCCCTGCTCCGAGTGAATGGCCTTCGCAAGCCGCTTGACCGGAAGAACAAAGAGGTAAAGGCTGCAAAAGCTATGGCCGCCTCTGACTGTGATAAGGCAATGTTTCAAATTGCCCAAAATGAAGTTCTGACAATTGATATTCTTTATTATCAGGCGCAGGCTACCGCCGCTATCCGGGCTCAGTTAGAGGCGGCCCAGAAGAGGAATAGCGAGCTGGAGGCGACCATCAACAACCTCAAGACCGAGCTGAGACCTCTTCGCCAAAAGATGTCCTCATACGAAACCTTGGAGAAATCCTTGGCGAGCGTAAAGGAACGCCTGGTGACCCAGGAAAAGAGTCTTACTCAGGAGCTCTCGGAAAAGGCCGAGCAAGAAAAGAAAGAGCTGGTCCGGGAGATGATGGAAGACTCTGCTCAAATCCAGCGCATGACTTGGGGCCGCCTCTTCCCCAATGCCGACTTTGCCTCCTGGGAAAAAACGTACCGCCAGTGTTCTGATAGATATAATCAAGAGATCCTGGCGGCTGCTGAGGAAGAGGCGTTGGAGGAGGAGGAGCAGCCGGTAGTGGCGCTTGTGCCGCTTGGGGGTAATGCATCGAAGAAGGATGCAGCTGAAGCCGAGTCCAGCAAAAAGAGTGCTGACCAGGCGGCAGCTGCTAATATTGAAGATTTGCCCCCTTCTTAAGCTTTATGTCTTCTTTCCACGGCGTGCGTGCCGTTTGTTTGTATTTACCCGGCCAGGGGGCCGGGGCTCTGAATATTTTGCCGGTCTTTAATAACCGGCTTCCTTTTAATGAATATTTTTGTTTTGCTT